TAGATGAGCTGGACATCTTTCACCTCCAGGGTGCTGGACTTGCGATGTCGAGCAAGTTGACAGGCTGCTGTCACCACACTCTCGATAAAATCATCAGCAATCTGCAGCAGCGTCTCCTCCACATCTTCATCCAACTGCTCATTAGGATCCACTTCTCTCACTAGGTCTTGCAATTTCTTCTTGGTCAATACCTGATTGTTTTCAGGGCTAAGACGACCTCCTGTCCCAGGAGTGTCTGGTATCTTTACCACTGTAGTGCTATTGGCCATGGATCCTTGTGGAGGGGTGCTGGCTGGTTCCGGTTTTATGGATGAGAAATTGGAGAGGTTGATTAGGGCTGAGGGACCACACTGGTTCATAATCTGCCGAGCTTTGGACTTCAGCTCACAGAGCTTATCAAGATCTTGTTTCTTTTTGGAGCTGTGAGGACCAAGGCCAATCAAAGGCAGCAGCGTCTGTCTCCCCATGATATGCGGAGACTGCCCCAGTGAAGCGTTCGTCTCAGCAGCCGGTCCGACTGCGCGACCGCTCTCATTCTTTTCTTTCTTCTGTTTACTTTGAGTTTCATTTGCTCTTTTTTGTTTTAGTTTCTTAATATGTAAATTGATCTGGAACTTTTGGTTTTATAAGCCTTTAATGCTATAAATTCCACCCAAGTAATGCTTTTCTTAAGTGACTCTTCACTTTCATTCAGTCCCAAATAAATTCTCATTTTCCTTTTGACTCCCTCTTCGACTCATGAATATTCTGAAGCATGTTAGTTACCAAATATTTGAAGATTCCTGTTACTGATTTCTTAATTAATTCCACCAGTCAATGATATATTTTGAATGAGCTCAATCCTTTTAAATTTATTGAGACTTGTTTTATATTCCAGAATATGGTTTATTCTGATGAATGTTTCACACACACTTGAAAGGAATGTGTATTTAGCTGTTGTTGGGTAGAGTGTCCTATAAAAATCAATGAGGCCAAGTTGGTTGATGGTATTGTTACTCTCTTTTATATCCTTAATTATTTTCTGTCTTCTTGTTTTATCATTTACTGAGAGAAGGATAATGAAATTTTGTATTACAATTATGGATTTGTCTATTTCTCCTTGAAGTACTATCAATTTCTACTCCATGTGTTTTGAAGTTCTGTTATTGGATGCATAAATGTTTAGTATTGTTATGTCTTTCTGATGAACTGACTCCTTCATCATTATGAAATGACTTTCTTTATCCCTGGTCATAGTCTTTGCTTTGCAATATACTTCATCTGATACTAATATTGCTGCCTTAAATACCTCTAAATAGTGTTGAGCTTTGTTCTGAGATATAGTTAATTCGAGAACCATTTGGTTTTTTCAAGTGTACTTTTAAGATCCATTAGGCAGCATCAGAGTATTGTCAGGTATAGGGCTACGCATTCCTCCCTAATAAGACATAGCCTTTCAGAGCATAATACCCAACACCTCAAGAATTACAAGCTCTCTCTAGTCTGGCTGTTAGGAACAGGCACTGTTCCCAGCTCTGTGTGAACAGAGTACTGTCCCCTCTAATCCTTTCGGGTGATTCTTTCTCCATCTCTAGGTAGTTTCCTCATATGCATGTACTGATCTGTATTCAGCTTTATATTTGAGATCTACACTGTGAGGTTCTCTGGAGTTCTCTACAGCTTTCTTCTCTCCAATACTCTGTCCTGCAAACTTTAGCTGCCTTCGTCTCCCTAGACTTGAAGCTTTGTGTTCTTGACTCAGGGAGTTTCAGCTCTCCTTCTTTGTACCATATTGTGGAAACTGTGTCTTAGAATGCCTGTTTTCGCTTTGTTTTATTTCACCAAATAAGGCAAACTCTGCATTTACAAATAAAGATGCTCTGGATCATCTTTATCTTCTCCAAAAATTATAGAGAAGGCTTCTGCTAGGGTTTTTTTTTTAACATTTATTTAGTAAATATAATTTCCAAAGTACAGTTTATGGATTACAATGGCTCCCCCCCCCATAACTTCCCTCCCACCCACAACCCTCCCATCTCCCGCTCCCTCTCCCATTCCATTCACATCAAGATTCGTTTTCAATTATCTTTATATACAGAAGATCGATTTAGTATGTATTAAGTAAAGATTTCATCAGTTTGTACCTACACAGAACATAAAGTGTAAAATACTGTTTGAGTACTAGCTATAGCATTAATTCACATTGAACAACACATTAAGGACAGAGATCCCACATAAGAGTAAGCACACAGTGACTCCTGTTGTTGACTTAACAATTTGACACTCTTGTTTATGGCGTCAGAAATCTCCCTAGGCTCTAGTCATGAGTTTCCAAGGCTATGGAAGCCTCTTGAGTTCGCTGACTTCGATCTTATTTAGACAAGATCATAGTCAAAGTGGAAGTTCTCCCTTCAGAGAAGGGTACCTCCTTCTCTGATGGCCCGTTCTCTCTACTGGGATCTCACTCACTGAGTTTTTTTTTTTTCCAGAGTGTCTTGGCTTTCCATGCCTGCAATACTCTCATGGGCTCTTCAGCCAGATCTGAATG